CATGTTGGGGTGAACAACAGAAGGAAGACCTTTCTCTCTCTGTGTCTCTCTCTCAACTGTCCCACTTCTGCCTTTCAAGAATGAAATAATACAAATCAATAAAAAAGAAAGAAAGAAAGAAAGAAAAAGAAAAAAGAAATGTTACATTCCCTGTGCTTTTGTTAAGGCTGTTCACTCTGCCTAGTGTTTCCTCTTCCTATCCACCCCCAAAATGCCAACTCTGACTTTTCCCCCCTTGATGAAGCACCCCCCAAGCTCACTTCCCCAATTACTTTTTGGCATTCTCCTATAAGACCAGTAGTACTGTAACCATTCACTAGTTGCTTTATACTTGGAAGCACTTTGTCTCCTCTGCTGAACTAAGTTGTTTTCTAAAAGACAACCTTATCTCTGTGAGTTTTGTTTTCAGTCTCTAATACCTAACATAATAAATAACACACCCTATGTGTGTGTGTGTTAAATTTACCTTAAATTTACCATTTTAGCCACTTTGAAACGTGCACTCCAGTGGCATCAAGTGTATTCACATTGTTGTGCATCCCTCGGCCCATCCTTCTCCAGAACGTTTTAATCTGCCCTGACTCATCACACTCATAAAGCACCAACGCCCTCTCCCTCCACCATTCTTCCCTCTGTCTCAATGAATTTGACTATTCTGGGTACCTCATGTAGGTGAACCATACAGTGTTTGCCATTTTGTGACAGATTATTTCATTTAGGTTCATCTGTTTTGTAGTATATGTCAGAATTTTCTTCCTTTTCAAGCTGAATGCTATTCCATTGCGTGTGTATACCATGTTTTTTTACCCAGGCATCCACTGATGGACACTTGGGTTGCTTCCCCCTTTGGGTTATTATGTTATAATGCTGCTATGAACATAGATGTGCAAACATCTGTTAGAGCCCTTGCTTCCACTCTTGCTTGGTATATACCCAGAATCAAGTAATTTTTTTTAATTGACTATTAAATTACAATATGCTTTACAAATGTACAAAGCTGTTTTTTTATCTAGAACTTAATCTATGCTGAATATTTAAAAGCTTGGAAATCAACAGAATATGCCATTCATTGCCTTCTCTGCAGGGTACCAGCCGTCCTTCCCACTATCATGTTTTATGGGATGATAACTGCTTTACTGCAGATGAACTTCAGCTGCTAACTTACCAACTCTGCCACACGTATGTGCGCTGTACACGGTCTGTTTCTATACCTGCACCAGCGTATTATGCTCACCTGGTGGCATTCCGAGCCAGATATCATCTCGTGGACAAAGAACATGACAGGTAATATAAAAAGCATATCAAGGCTGGTGCCGCAGCTCACTAGGCTAATCCTCTGCCTTGCGGCGCCGGCACACCGGGTTCTAGTCCTGGCCGGGGCGCCGGATTCTGTCCCGGTTGCCCCTCTTCCAGGCCAGCTCTCTGCTGTGGCCAGGGAAGTGCAGTGGAGGATGGCCCAAGTGCTTGGGCCCTGCACCCCATGGGAGACCGGGATAAGTACCTGGCTCCTGCCATCGGATCAGCGTGGTGCACTGACTGCAGCACGCCAGCCGTGGCAGCCATTGGAGGGTGAACCAACGGCAAAGGAAGACCTTTCTCTCTGTCTCTCTCTCTCTCACTGTCCACTCTGCCTGTCCAAAGAAAAAAAAGCATATCAAGTACAGATTCTCACCCAAATCCAAATATTATCTGAGTGTTAAGATTTTCCTAGTAAATTCTTTACGTGCTTCCCTATGAGTATGTGCCTCTCTATTTGCCATAAAGTACTGCTATTTAGATTTAAAGTTCCTTGGCCAGTGATCATGTGAAAAGCCATGAAAGTCAGAACTAATTGCCCAAGATAAAGTTTTCTATTGCAGTATGCTACCCAAGACTCATAATTAATGGAATAACGTAGTAATTTAGTTGCTTTACAAAACTAATTCAAAGAAGAGAATATCGGTAATTTTAGTAAAGTGATACATATATTGGTAGAGAAAATGATGTCTATGATTTGTTTCTAACTAATCCTGGGGTGAGAAGAGATGTAAAGCAAATTGACCTTGAGTAATAATTACTGAAGCTGGGTGATGCATACATGATTTGTTAGACAAGTCTCTATTTTGAAATTTGCTGCAATAGCATTTTTCAGAATTATTACATCAGAATAGAAGATTTGTTTTTGTGTTCATTGTCACTTCTCTTACAGTGCTGAAGGAAGTCATGTTTCAGGACAGAGCAATGGGCGAGATCCTCAAGCTCTTGCCAAGGCTGTACAGATTCACCAAGATACCTTACGCACAATGTACTTTGCTTAAAGAGTCCACATATATTTTCTGAGAGGAAAAACTGAATTGACATATGCTGTATGTTTCCAGTAAAGTCAATTGAGTAGGGAGCGACGCCTCCAGCCGTACAGAAACCAACACTGTGTCGGGCCAGGGTCTGATCCTTCTGCTGATGCAAGGAAGAGTGTCTGCTTCATCAAGGAAGGCGGCACTATTATGCAATATGAAACCAGCCACTGCTTTTTGTGCAGTCTCCGTAGGAAGTATTGCAATTGTTTTGTTTTCACTTCTTATAGTCTAACCCTTTTAATGCCTTTACCTCAAGTTGCTTGGCAGCACAACTATCTTTGCAAAAAAAAGTAGGAAATGTAAATGATGGTTTAAAAAACACACACCTATGTGAATAATCAAAGTGATTGTTCACAATTATGTGTGCAAAAAAATTAATGTGCACTCGTATATTCTTGTAAAAGGAGTCTGTATTTTTAAAATATATACATGTATACTTCATGTGCATATATATCTGGGTCTAGATTGATAATAGATATATATGTATCTGTGTATATATTTTATAGCTCATTCCATTGGGAAACTATCTTTCCCTTTATTCTCTCCTCACTACCACCTTTATTTCTCTGACATCCCTTGCCTTCATCACCTGTATTTTTTCTCCTAATGCCACCAGTGACATTCAAATGTTCATATATCTAATTCATTTGAATGTGAAGCATAGCAAACTAGATTTCTATTTTTATTTTGCACATCCTTTTCCTGTCTCCTATCTCATACAGTTTTGAGTCCTCAACTCCTGATAGTGCTTTCTTAAGAAACAGAATTATTTTATATCTATCTATATATACATATATATAATGTTTTGGTGAGATTGTGTGTCTCCTGTCTGAACTGAACATTTGCCACTTGTGCAATGTGTACATAAGCAGTAGCAATCTAATATTCTTTTTCTTTAGCGAGTTTGTTAAAGCTGCTATAAATATGAAACCTTGTCAGAAGTTGTAACTGTTTCTCTCTGATAAGTGGTATCTATTCTAAAGCATTCTGTTTCTTTGGGATAGACATGGAAATCCCTTAAAGCTTTTATAAAGGATAAATATTTTAAGAGGTTGGAACTCTGTAGGGTTGAGGCCTCTGAAATTGGGTAGAGAAAGAGAAGAGGCTATTGGAATTTTTGTTTTGTTTTGATTCACTTTTTGCTAGGTAACTTGCTGCGTCTCATACCTTAATGTGATTTTCATATATATATTTTTATATATATGTATATATATAAACATATATGTATGTGTTTTGAAGTATAGCTTCCTTTTCTTTTGTATTTATTAGAATAGTGCTTTAATAATTACAGAACCATATTAACATCTTTTATAGAAATATAATCATGTTTATTTTAAGAACTGACAACTTGTTTTTGCTGCCTTTTAGTGCAATAAGCAGTTTTAAAAGTTGTGTCTTTTTGACATCTCTACCATGGATAATGGGAGGAATAGGCACCTCCGTAATTTTACAAGGGCAAAGTAATACAGCCTTAATTTCAGAAGGAAAGTTTTCTAATTTTCAGTTTTAAAGCATATCTTTTAAAAATCATAATGAAAATGAAGGAAGTGAAATTTCTTGACTGAGTTTAACCTTCAGTCTTAAAGTTGAACTTTGTTTTAAGAAATGACAGTAAACAGCTTAAGATTTAAAAGATATTTAAGAAAATAGATCATGTTTATTGAAGAACTGTACTGGCTAGGTGCCAATTTTTACTTACTAAAATGAATCAGAAAAATGAAAGATGATATTTTAAGAAGTTTTTTGCTGATTTACCACCAGTGTGACTTTCCTTTTAAAATTAAGGTGATATTGGCGAAGGAAGTCAGGACTTTGATCGTTTTAAATGATTTAATCACTGAAATGTGGGGGCAAATTTTGCAGTCTTGTCCATTGATTTCACTTTAAGATATTAAAAGTACTAAGAATCTGTCAAAACTAACTTTATCAAGAACATTGGATTCAGGGGAGCTTTGCACTTTGTAACTCATGAAAATTACATTTTGACTTTTTTTTTTTTTTTTTTTTTTTGCACTGGTTAAGAGTGTAAATACTACAGATTGTTTCCAGTGGGCATTGTTGTTAGCCTCTCAGAATTCCATCTGCACATGAAAACTAATGGATTTAGATCTTTAGTTTGTCTCTTACTTGTAATCCACTAATATTGCCAATTTACTGTATTTTGAGCCTAAAATCTGAGCCCATGTCCTCCAACAGGCATGAAATCTTTTGGCCCGAAGCCAGAAAACTAAGAAAGTACTGTATTTTGTATGTTTATTATTTTTGAAGTGTCTGAAATGAAATTTACAACACTGTTGCAAAGCACTTTACATAATAATATTTATATAGTATATACTTTTTTTTCTCCCAGCCTTCTGCCTTCTTCTCAAAAAAAAAATTCCTTTAAAACATGTTTGTTTTCTTACATTGAAACTTCACTGAATATAGTCAGGAACATGCGCTAGAGAAGACAGTAGCATATTCTGGGTGAAACAGGTTTGGTCTGTGCTTGCTTGGAATGAGTAAAACATCTTTCTTTATCCATGGGAGCTGTATAGACTGGTGTGGGAAGCTTCAGGGAGCAACTGTAGATACCCTTTCACTACTCCCTGCTGAACCTAATCTGCAGCCACTTAGTCTCATATGTGCTAGAGTGAAGCCCTTAATTTAAATGTACTTGGAGGGACTTTTTTAAGAGGAAAAGTATTTTTTCTAAAATATAAAGCTTTACCTTTTGAGTGATTTCTTTTTTAGAGTGTCTTACACTATCCAACATTGCTAGTTTAAGGTTGATTAACTTGAAAGAATATGTATAATATATTTCTATTTTGCTTACTAACAAATTGGTATATAAACCTAATTATTAAAAACCCGTGCTTAGCATTTTAAGATAAAGGCTAAGTGGCACATCTTGAAATTTGTTCTAATTATTATTGCACTTTTGGTGTAGAATTCCTGATCTTTTCTTACCTTAAAATTTTAAAAAGGTTGTTATGGGTTTCTTTTTAAATTCAGACATCATAAAACTCACAATGACCTTTCTGCTTCTTCCCTTGCTCATTAATTATATATTGAATGCTAAATTTTATTCTACTATTTTCTGTGATATGTCATACAGGAGTTACTTTAAAATGTCAATCCCAGCAACTGTTATAAATAATTTTCATGTGAAGAAATGTTGGGAGTTTACGTATATTCTTAATGGCAATGTCTGTGAAAAGTGCTGATACATGTTCTTACAGTATCCAGTGACTGGCATTGAGGACCACACGTTGGTAATCCTGTAGCTGCTATATTTATTTAAGTAGAGTCTGACAGTTAGTGCACTAAACCGTTAAGGAGATGAACGTGATTCAAGGCTAGTGTTACGCCTGTTGTTTTGTTTTGTTTCATTTTCTTAAATTAGATTAATGACATAAAATCATCAAGGTGACAAAGGGTGCTGCCATTTTAGTTACAATTCAATAACCAGAATATTATTTTAGAAGTATAGTTTTTGACTTTTACAGTTTGCAAAGGGTACCTCAGCCTCTTCAGTACTGGTTTTTGGCACATTTTCACAGAACTAGAGATGCCCTTTCTTTTTGCTTACTAGTTACCTTTTAAAAAATTTCTTGGGAAAATCGTTGTATTGAAATATTCCTGTTTATACCCTATTGATTTATTTTTCTTCCTAGAAGAGATTCTAGAAGGAATTTTAGTAGAAAAAAATAAACACTACGTGTTTTAGAGGGCACTTGATGAAGATTATCTCTGCCTTGTAGCCTAGGGACTTGCAGCCTCTAAAGACCTGTCCTAGTTTTTTGAGCTAAGTTCTCTGTGACTCAGCACTACGTGATGTTCCTTGTGGGTTCTCTATCGGAGTTCATCAGGACAGACCGGACAGGCAGTCATGGAAGTCTTAGGCATGTCTAGGGAAGTAAAAGCTGAGCTGCCATTCAGCAGAAATGGCTGGCAGAGGATCTCAGAGCGCCGGGCACGGATGTGAGGTGTTCATGTAGGTTACAGACCACATGGTTAGAGACCATTTCCAAGGAACTCTGCGGGTCTTTCCAGAGGCCAACATGCATTTGCCACAGGCAGTGCTTTTTATGAAATTCAAGAAGCTCATCACTTGGACATAGCTAAAATATTTTGTAGTCTTCCTATTTCAAACTTGAGAGTAATTTTAGGCCAAGAAGTTTGACTGATAACTCTGCATAGTTTTCACTGGGTATCGATAAACTGGAGTTAAATGTGTGCTTAGCTCCTCCTCCCCAGTGTGCACCTGTTGAAGAGGAAGGCTGGTGTTAACAGTGACTTGCTACTTCAGTTACTGTTTATGAATTGGCCAAGTTGCAAAAAGACATCAGCAGTTGGGCATCTCCATTTTTTTTAAGATTTATTTATTTGAAAGGCAGAGTTTCAGAAAGAGGGAGATACACAAATACAGAGTGAGAGAGAGAGAGATCCTCCATCCCCTGGTTCACTCCTCAAATGGCCTCAACAGCCAGAGTGAGCCAACCCAAAGCTAGGAGCCAAGAGCTTCTTCTGGATCTCCCATTTGGGTGCAGGAACCCAAGTATTTGGGCTATCTTCTACTGCTTTCCCAGGCCATTTGCAGGGAGCTGGATCAGAAGTAGGGTAGCCAGGGCTTTAACCAGTACCCATATGGGATGCCAGCACTGCAGATGGCAGCTTTCCCACCATGCCCCCTTTATTTTGACTTTCTAATCTGTCTGAAGTATTAGTCCTTTTCATTCTTTTTGAGAACTTGTGGATGTGTTAAAGCAGAGGTAGTACCATTCAGCCTGTGGGCCGTATAATCATTTTGTCTGGCCATGCCAAGGCAACTGCAGGCTAGTTTTAAGTTGATCATTTGTATGGCCCGCAAATGATGTTATAAATATCCAAAAGCCTCTGGGTCGAAAAAAGTTGCCCCACCCATGCTTTAAAGCATCAGTAGTGATGGCTGAGAGGTTTCACATTCGAGTGAGGCCTTCCTGAGTGGTAGTATGAACCTGATTTAGGGTCTCTCCTTGTTGTCCTGTTTCCCTCCCATTGGATCATGTAAAGCACTTATGGGATTCTATAGGAGTCAAAAATAAGCTAAGAATGGATATGTAAAAGTCAGTACAGGGCTGGCGCCGTGGCTCACTTGGCTAATCCTCCACCTGCGGCACTGGCACCGCAGGTTCTAGTCCCGGTTGGGGTGCCGGATTCTGTCCCAGTTGTTCCTCTTCCAGTCCAGCTCTCTGCTGTGGCCTGGGAAGGCAGTGGAGGATGGCCCAGGTGCTTGGGCCCTGCCCCCGCATAGGAGACCAGGAAGAAGCACCTGGCTCCTGGCTTCGGATCAGCGCGGCGCGCCAGCTGTAGCAGCCATTTGGGGGGTGAACCAACAGAAAAAGGAAGAACTTTCTGTCTCTCTCTCACCAAAAAAAAAAAAAAAAAAAGTACAGAAATTGGAAAGAGAATTTTCTCCAAAAAAATCTTTAAAACAAAAATCCTGTTTATACTAAGAACATTCTTCATCAATGGCAATGTTAAAAATGATACTGTGATTATTAGTGAAAGCCAAACTGAGTTCCAGGAGAGGGAGAGGAAACACACACACACACACACACACACACACACAAAGGTACTTCAAAAAGTTTGTGGGAAGTAGAATTAAAAGATAAATTTATTTACTTTGGTGTAAAAAAGTTTGAAATCCATTCATAGTCTTTTCATAATATGCATTTGTGGGAGTAGGGGTGTGTATGTATCATAAAAGGCAAAGATATTTTGATTTTTTGTACTTTTAAAAATGGTACATTTAAGTTTATAATTTTCCATGTCAGTAACATAAATTTTTAATGGCTTGTGCTAATATTATCTACTGCTAACTCAAATTTATTTTATATGACCCATCAAGGTAGCACTCAGATTTTATATTGTTGATAAAATCTCAAGACTCGTTTGTTCTTAGAGTATGGAAGTTAAATATTTGAATTAAAGATAGAAGGATGATTAATGAAGAAAGTTAAAACTTACCAATGAGAAACCCTATTGGATTATCAGGTAACTGTGACAGAGTAGGGATCCTGTCAGATCATCTGTCCCACCACTGGGCTTCCTTCCCTCTGGAAACCAGTGTCTGAAGTAACCAAAACCTAATGTTGTATTTATGTTGGGGCCTCAGTAAAGCACAGATGTTCTTCAGGTTCAACTCTGAATTAAATTTTAGGTCATTTTTTAAAGCAAGGCTGTTCTTAGAAAGTGCCTTTACAGAAGATGGTGCTGTAGATTTTTATTTTTCAAATAGCATGAGGTTAAAAATTTAAATTATTTTAGAACTCCAAGAATGTGAGAGTTTCATGCAAATATCAATAATGTTACTTGTTGTCCTGAACCAAGGAAAGCTTTATTGCCGTAAAGTAGCTAAGTAAATGCTCACTAAATTTAGTTTGTAAATTTGAAAACAAAATTTTTAACAGAATTAGTCCTTTTTATTGAGATTTTGGGTATAGTAGCAAGTTCACAAAGGAAAAGGTAACTTGCAGGGAATTATTATATGCTACCTTTTTTTTTTTTTTTTTTTAGTTCAGCACAGATTGATGCTAAAGGCTGTAGAGGTAACCTTTTCTAATTGGTCATTATTATTGGAGAAGACTGTTCACAGAGAGCTACGCTATCATCGAGATGATTTTAAGAAAGAAAACAAAGTATTAGCTATATTTATCTTTAAGGGAAATTTTCTTTTTTAGAAACTAACGGATATTTTAAATGATTCTTTTTTTCCCTAAGATGGGGAAACTATGAAAAATGATGACAATGCATTTAAAAGGGCACAGGTTCTAAAAATAGAATATGGGAAAGTGGGCTTTGACAGAAATAACAAAAGAAGGGGGAAAAACAGGACAAGACATACTTACTAGAAATTTACTAATCTACCAGAAAACAGTTCCCCCCACACTAAGAAGCAGTAAACAATCCTCTAACCTGTTCTTGTGAATTTGGTGAGCATTCCTCCAGAAAAGAAATATACTAAAAAAAACCCACACCTCAGTAACCTTGTATGCTGCATTATGTAATAATGATAGTAAAATTACATTGATTGTTTGGAGTGTACTCTGTTTGCAAATATACATGCACATTAAACTCTCATTTTTTAATGTCTCAGCAATTATGGATTTATTTTTTTAAGATTAATTTTTTCTATTGTGATGTTTATATTCATTGGCAATTTGTGTGCAACTTTTATATTTTTGCTTAGATGTTGGTTTTAAGATTTTATTTTATAGATATTTCGAGCTTTTCCTCCTTCTTTGCAATATTAGCGAAATTTAAGATGGAGTATTAATATACCAACCAAACTACTAATTCTATAAGGTCTAAAGTTTGGATTTCTACCAATAAACCATTAATACTATTTTCTAATTTAGAATATTTGATGTTGTTTATATAGTGGGCATTAAAGACAGACTTTAGACAGATTTCTATGTGTGGAAGAGAAGTTAGGCTTTTCTAATAAGTTAGATCTTTTTTTCCTATACTAGCAAACTGACAGTGGCAGATTGGATTTATTTTACCTGACAGTAATTTTCAGAAAACTTGTCAAATAAATTATCATACTTCTTTTGTTGACTTTAGGTACATTGAAACTGCTTAAAAGGCCACATTGTTCAGCAGTAGGATTATGATACCATTTAATTGACCAAGAAACAAATAGCAAGTGATCCAGAAATCACTAATGATGCACTTTGAAATGGGTTCCCCCCCCCCAGTGATTATGTTATGTAGAGGATCTGCTACCCTGATCTTTTCCCTAGCATTCCTTTAAAGTTGATTCAACCCTGGGGTATCAGTGAAGGAACCAGAGATAAAGTGGCTAGGGAGAGCCAGGGAAATAGACGATTAAAAGAGTATTTCTTCTTACTGCTTAAGTAATAATGATTTATGAATGTGAATTCATTGGAAGGCAGTGAAAAGTATAATAGTAGACTACTTTAAAGCATGTATAGTAACTCCAGTTTCCTGACGAATAAATCAAGGTTACTTGTATTGGCACATTAACTTTTTCATAAAAGTACATGAGAAAAATGTATTCCCTTAAAGAGGAAAAATATTTTCATTGTATGTTTACACTATGGATTTGGTAAGGAATCTTTTTTCTGTAAGAGATTAAGAGATAAACTTTATCCCATCCTCTGATTTTTAAATTCTAAATTACTGGAGCTCAATGTATGACATTTTGTTGTACTGTATTCTATTCCACTGAGAGGGAGGGAAATGGGAAATTTTTTTAAGTAACTATAAATAGGAAAACTTTATTTTTATATTATGTAAAGTTTTACAGTTTAAAATGAACCAGCATGTGATTTCCTACAGACGTTAGTCATATCATTTCTTTATGCATTTTGCCCGTTACATTAGTTTGCTTTATAATATACTTCTGAGGTATTTCCTTTACCCCCATGTCAAGTACTCATTAAAGATTGGTACTCTGATTATAGGAATGTGTTATTTCTAACTAAGAACCAAATCTGTTTCCAGCAGTCAGATATGTTTTTGCTGCAAGTCTATGTCCCTCTTTTAAGGATATTCATTGTGCTTATAACTTTGTTTTATGCATTATATTTCAACATTGTCCTGGGTTGACAGACATGTAATGCTTGAGGACCAACATTTTTAAGGCTGTCTCTAGTCCTGTGTTTTCATTTTTCCTCCTGAAAATTCATAGGAACCTGGCACCCAGAGCTTATTTTAACCAATTGACTCCACAAATCCAGGCACCTGGCATCAGTACTTGATGACTTGTTTGGGTTTATAGTCCACCTCTTGAGAAAGATAGAGTTGTGCAGTAATTGGTCATCCCCAAAACAGAACTGTCATGAGCAGTCTTGGGAGTAGAAAACAGATAGGAGTGTTGATCAGTAGAACTTTGTGTTGGTCATATTCTTTGTAAAAGTGGACTGTGTGCACATCCATGACTCCGTGACTGCAGTTTAAAAGGCTGCACCAGAGAGGAGACAGGGAGATTGTTCTGGTTTTTAGTGCCTAAACTTTCCGTCTTTACTTCATGGCTTTTGGTTAGAACAAATAAAAATCCCTTAATTTAGCCCTTTAATAATCTTTTTAGAACCAAAGAAGGACAGATTCTTTCTGCAAAATTGTGACACGATGTGGCTCTACTTTTCTGTATTATAATTCTGAAAATAGGAGGTCTTCCCAGAGAAATGGACTAGTGGGATGTGTGAGTATGTAATAAGGGGAAAAGTTTTATTTGCTGGGATATTTGAACAGAAACCTTACAATTGTACAATTGTTTAATATTTGTCAAAAAAATTTTTAAAGGTTTATCTATTTTATTTGAAAGCCAGAGTTATGGGGGCGGGGGTGCAGGGAGGAGATCTTCCGTATGCTGGTTTGCTCCCCAAATAGCCACAACAGTCTTACGTGGGCCAGACTGAAGCCAGGAGCTTCTTCTGGGTCTCTCACATGGTTACAGGGGCCCAAGGACTTGGGCCATCTTCTGCTGCTTTCCCAGGCGCATTAGCAGAGCGCTGGATCAGGAGTGGAGCAGTTGAGATACAAACCAGTGCCCATATGGAATCCCAGCGCTGCAGGCAGTGGTCTAACCCACTGCGCCACAGCCCTGGCTCAAATATTTCTCAAATTCTTAACAAAGTAATACAGCAGCTGTTGGTTTTTGAACCTGCAGAAGAGACTCAAGAGAGCCTCTATAATTTAAATTAATATTTTGTTGTCCCAGACCAAAGCTGCATCTATTGTCAGTACATTTTAAAAGATCTTACAAGTTGCTTTTATTCACTTGATAATAAAGAAATTAAATGCAGTATTTGCCCTTATATAGAGCCACGGCACTGTTATCAACACAGCCTCTCCAGTTTCCTCCTTTTTGTAGAAAACACCAAATGGGGCCTTTCCAGACAAGCTTGTCCTTCCTGTAAAGAAAGAGTTTTTGGTGAACAGTTTGGGGAAAACACTGGTAGATGGTGATGAAGAAGGAGTTTTGGCCCAGTCTAATCCAGTTCATATATACAGATTGATCCTTTAATAAGATGCAGCTTTGATTTTGGTAGCAACAGACTCTATGTCTAGTGTGTCTAGTGGTAATTAATTGCAGATATCTCCCTTTTTCAGATAGGGAATGAGCTCTTTTTTTTTTTTAAGACATTTCTTTATTTGAAAGAGTTACAGAGAGACAGAGACAGAGACAGAGAGAGAGAGAGAGAGAGAGAGAGAGAGATCTTCTATCTACTTATTCATTCTCCAGATGGCCACAACAACCAGGACTGGTACGCCAGGCTAGGCCAAAGCTGTGAGCCAAGACTCTCATCCGGGTCTCCCACATGGGTGTCAGGGGCTCAACCACTTGAGCCATCTTCCACTGTTTTTCCAAGCCATTAGCAGGGAGCTGGATTGGAATTGGAGCAGGCGAAACATGAACTGGCACCTACATGGGATGCCGATGTCATAGGCGGCAGCTTTACTCACCATGCCACAATGCCAGCCCCAGAAATGACCTCTTACATTGGTGATTGCCCTGCAAAAGGGCATGTATTCGTTTTCTAATTCAAAAACCACAAACAGCAGGCACTAACTGAAATTTTCTAGTAGTTTGCCCCTATAAGATTCTTTAAAAGTTTTCCAGGAATTTTCTTAATTAACCCAGGATACAGCCGCTTTCCCTTCTTTTAAAAGAAAAAAACAGGCCGGTGCTGTGGCATAGCAGGTAGAGCCTCCACCTGCAGTGCCAGCATCCCATATGGGGAGACCTGGCTACTCCACTTCTGATCCAGCTCTCTGCTATGGCCTGGGAAAGCAATAGAAGATGGCCCAAGTGCTTGGGCCCCTGCACCCATGTGGGAGACCTGGAGGAAGCTCCTGGCTCCTGGCTTTGGATCGATGCAGCTCCTGCCATTGTGGCCATTTGGGGAGTGAACCAGCAGATGAAAGACCTCTCTCTCTCTGCCTTTGCCTCTGCCTCTCTGTAACTCTTACTTTTAAATAAATAATTTTTTAAAAGCTTTAAAAATTTAAAACAAAAAATTTTAAAAAGGAAAAAAGCTGAAAGAATATAGAGGCAGTTTATATAAAATTCTTCTATGGGTAAAAAACTTGGGTAATTTTAAGGTACTTTAAAATGCCTGGGAGGGGAGGGTCACCTGTCACAAGTCACAACTGGATTAAGAGACTGTTATGGGGTGGGCACTTGGCATAGCAGTCAAGATGCTGCTTAGGACACCCACATCCGATATCTGAGCGCTTGGTCCCAGCCCCACATCGGATTCCAGCTTCCTGCTAATGCACACCCTGAGAAGCAGGGATGATGAGTCCCATAGTAGGGTCCCTGCCACCCACATGGAGACCCAGATTGAGTTCCTAGTTTCTAGATTTGGCCTGACCCAGCCTCAGCTGTTGTAGGCATTTGGGGGGTGAACAAGCAGATGGGAACCCTCCCTGTCTGTCTTTCAAATAAATATTTTTAAGAAGAGGGGAAGAGTGTTTTAGCATGTTTTTCACATTCTAAAGTTTGTTTCCTTTGACATATCATTCTTTGATTTCCTCGAGCGCCTCCATTCTTGTGATAGAATCAATGTTCATGGCATTTATGAATCGTGTTCTCATCCCCCACACAAATGTTCATACACACAAACGCACAGTTAGATCTAAAAGAGGGAGAGGGTAAAGCAAGATGGAGATAGAATAGGAATAATTAGAATGCAGCTTTAGTTAATATAGATGAAAGGAACCCCTAACTCGGTTAAGTGAGAATTAGAGTTGCAGGTGCTCCCTCCAGCCTGAGAACTTTGTGCTAGCTGTAGTGTGCTCATGTGACCCGGAGTACGAGGTGTTACCGCGAAGGGATGGGATGATTCTTGAAGGTAATATTTCAGTCCTCTGCCACAGAGATGCCCTAGTCCTCTCAATGTATGTATTTGTTATGCCTTCAGTGTTATGGCTGTATTTCTTAGGTCAGCCTTGACGGATGCAAAATTCCACCCTAAACATTTTTAACTCAACCCATTTCCTCATCTAGCCTAAGCTGTAAAGGAGATGGCATAAGGTACTTTCAAATGCAGGGACTTTAAAAAGATCACAAACTGGAGAAAGACTATTGAGAACCTAACTGCCTTTGAGAGTAAGAGCTCAAGAAGTGAGCCAGAGACTTGGAGTTGTGTCCCGGCTCTGTGTGCCTAGATTCCGGTGGTGGACAAAAGTGATGACACCTGCCCTCACCTACCTCACTAAGTTGCTATAATAATAATATGATGTTTGTGCATGAAAATATTTGCGTTCTCCAAGGGAAAAGCTATTCAGAAGTTCAAGATTCTAGAATGGTGTGATGGTGAAGGATTCCTTCCCAGTTTGTGAATGTCTGATTACTGTAGATCATTTTATTTTTATTCGTTAAAGATTATGTTTTTATTTATTTGAAAGGCAGAGTTACAGAGAAAGAGGTAGAGACAGAGAGATCTTCCGTCTTCTGGTTCACTCCCCAAGTGGCCGCGCGTGGCCAGGGCTGGGCCAGCCCAAACCCAGGAGCCTAGCACCTGGAGTTCCACCTGGGCCTCCCACAAGGGTGGCAGGGGCCCAAGCACGTGGTCCATCTTTCTCTGCTTTCCCAGGTGCATTAGCAGGGAGCTGGATCGGAAGCAGAGCCACCAAGACTCAAACCAGCGCCCACACGGGACACTGGTGCCGCAGGCAGCAGCTTAAACTGCTATGCCACAGCACCCGGCTCCTGCAGATCATTGTATGAAACAGGCGTAAGAGAAGCGTAGGCTTGTCGTCGTGGGGTCTTCACTCACAGACCCGCCTTGTTCTGTCCTTCCTGCCAGATATCCATGCGCAGGTCGTATTTTTCTTCATAATAATCCTTGCAAAAGTGTAGGATTTTCAAAAGCCAAACTCCTTTTAGTGGTGCTGTGGCAGCTGCACTGTGTTTTCAGTTAGAGTCGTGTGCTGAAGCTACCAGTTACTCAGAAATCAACTTCGCCTTCTGCCTCCGGGCACCCCTGCTGCGCGGTGGGCACCAGAGCTGCTGTACAGCCAGGTGGTTGCTCCCTTGTTTCTCGGCAAAGGTTTGGTACCTTTCTTTGGATTATGGGGTTGGTTGTAAGAAGAAAAGTGTTCTTTGCAGCATTGAACTTTGCTTTACTTAAACAATTCCAGTTATCATGGACCCATAAGAGTATAGTGGAAGTTTCTTGTCCATGTTAACTCACTTCTGAGCTCTGCAGGGGACACCAAGTATCTGACCCCGTCGCCTTTATGGACCTCACATTTCAACAGGTTTATGCACTTCCCCAGGGCCGGGTGGCCTGTTTCTAGGATATCACCACAGGGGGGTGCAGCAATTCCTTGTTGTAAGCAACAAGAAATTTTTTTAAAGAAAAATGGATGTATTTTGGGTACACAGGGTATGGAAGCGTTCAGCGTTGATCTCACCTCCCCCTTGTTGCAGGCAGTTGGGCTTTTCCAGCTCATGGCGTTAGTTTTATGGGACAGTGAGAATTTCAGGTACTGAAAATGAAAGGTAGGGAGATTCATGCTTGTGAAAGAACAGAAATCCACATTGTACGCTGAGTAGCTGGCACGGATATATCAGGAACACTTTTAAACAGGTTTTGCTGTAATATGTAGCTTTAATGTCTCTCTTCAGTTATAGACTGCAAAAAGTATTACTGGATCTTGTGAATGAAGATGATTTTGTGGATTAGTATTTGTGGATGCATCTATAGGCCATGAGAGGCAGCAATGTGTGTGTGTGTACATTGAAATACTTTATAGCACTAGCTGTGATACACAAATTTATACAGGAAAAAGTTTTTCTTTAGTGTACAAGAGACTAAAATTGAGGCATGACCATTCCAGTATAATTTGACCAGTCACTCTGGAGACATTTCTGATACACACAATGCACGCGTACACACACACCCCTAAAACACTGCTGACTGTTTCCACTTCAACTGCTGCCTTTTTTAAAACCTTAACTAATGGAGGAAGAAGTAGGATTCTTTATAAAGGAGCTTTTCTGAAGAGTAAGATGTAAATGCAGGACATGTGTGGAGGGCAGCGCCACCTGAAGAATGTCCTGCAGGTGGACAAAGAGCCTTTGAAAGTTCACTTTTTAACCATCTTGACCGTGTGTGCCTATTTGTATTGCAGATGTGAACTACTATTTTGGGGGGTTGATACCAGTATGTTTTGAAACTGAATTATTACATATAATCAGACTAACCTTTCTCTCCATCCTCCTTTTCACACAAACTGTTCTTGCCAAATATTTCTACTGATACCAAGTTTCAGCAAAGCAAAATGATAGGACTCGCAAGCCTCCTTCCGTATCTCCCCTACCTGTTGTGTCTTATGACTGGCCTGGCCTTGTATATTTTCCGTTGTTTTTTCCTAAGTAAGGACAATTTACTGTAGTGCTTCACGATGTTAACTCTTAAAATGTCTGGTTGCATAGTAATATCACTTAAAGCAGTGGGTAATAGATCTGAGTGATACCAGACTTGGCTGCCACATTTTGCTAAGAGGAGACTGGAACTTAATGGCGAGGAGTGGATGGGAGAGGACATCTGGGATATATACGTGATCACTGTGTACTTGGGGCCAGGCTTGGACTTTGGTTGTCATTTTCACTCCTTGAAGCTATGTAATTATGATGAACAGAGGCAAATAAAATTTTTAAACTAAAGTGCTTGTTTTCACTATTTGAAATTTGACAGTAAATTTTCTACTTTCTGTTAAATTACTCCCCCAAAAAATTACAACCAAAAAAACCTTAAGGGGTGTGATTGTGAAACTTGAAGAAGCAGGTTTTTTAAGCAATTCAGTCACTTGTCATAATTTACACTAAAGAAATGGTCATAATTCCTTCTGAGCCAAACAGTCGCTGAAATGTCCTGTGACGGAACCACGTCTCCTTTTCTCTGCCATTCTGTGTAGTGGAAGGGTTCTATATCATGTTTGTTTTTAATCCTTGATTTAAAGGAAAATTAATGGTCTCAGTGTTGCTTAGCTTCAGTTTGAAGTGTAACTTTCACTAATATCTGCAATAAAAAGAAATGCTTTGCTCCAGACCTTGTGTTGTGTGGTCATCATGCAGCTCTGCAGATTGGGCTAGCGAAACTCGGGCTGCACAGCCGTAACAGCCTGGATTCAGACCTTGACTCTACATCTCAGTTTTCTGCAATGAGAAAGAAGATAATGCAGCTGTTTGGGCCTTAAATGAGATAATGTATGGAAAGCATTCAACAGTGCCGCTCCTGTGAATGGAGCTTGGAAGCTTTGTTGGATTGTTTTGTTTTTCCCTTGGGTTAGTTTATTTATTTATTTATTTATTTGGTATTTGAGAGGGAAAGTTTTCCTTTTCAACGGTTGCTCCCCAGATGCCCATGATGGTGGGGACTGGGCCAAGGCCAAAGCTGGGAACCAAAAATTCAATCCAGGTCTCCCAATTACTCGAGCCGTCACTGCTGCCTCCCAGGGTCTGCATTAGCAGGAAGCTGCAATCAGGAGCTGGAGCCTGGTGTCAAACCCAACTGCTCCCCTATGGAATGGGCGTCTTAGCCTCTAGGCTACGTGCCTGCCAGCAGGCTCAGGCTTTAAAAAGATTCCTTACTTCTTCCCCCCTCTTGCACTTCTTGAATAAGGACATTGGGTGGAGTACAAATGGGTAGACACAAAAAAACAGGCTTAAAAACTTTTCCCCAAGGTGAAAAATTTTTAAATGGGCAGGAAAAAAAAAGCAGAGTGAAGTGGGGGGATCCTTACAGAAGTAGATGCACAGCCCAGATAAGAAAACACTGGACTAAAATTTTGGAAACCAGCTCTCAAGTCTCATAACTGTAATTTCAGTATGTCACTTTGTTTTATCATTGAAATTATTGAAGCCGGCGCCACGGCTCACTAGGCTAATCCTCCGCCTTGCAGCGCCGGCACACCGGGTTCTAGTCCCGGTCGGGGCGCCAGATTCTGTCCCGGTTGCCCCTCTTCCAGGCCAGCTCTCTGCTGTGGCCAGGGAGTGCAGTGGAGGATGGCCCAAGTGCTTGGGCCCTTGCACCCCATGGGAGACCAGGATAAGTACCTGGCTCCTGCCTTTGGATCAGCGCGGTGCGCCGGCCACGGTGCGCCAGCCACGGCAGCCATTGGAGGGTGAACCAATGGCAAAAGGAAGACCTTTGTCTCTGTCTCTCTCTCTCATTGTCCACTCCGCCTGTCAAAAAAAAAAAAATTATTGAACTTGTGGGGAGCAACTCGGACTAGACTGTTACTGGAATTAAGACTTATTCTATGCATCTGCTCTCCCACAATATGGCGCTGAGAAGGGAGTAACAACTTCTACGCAGCTGCCTCTCACCAACTTGAGTGATCCTGCCCCTGATTGGAGGAGAGCAGTGTACTCGGCATGTGGGTAGCAGAGTTGGGATTGGCAGAAGAGGACTATAAAGGAGGAGAGAGACAACATGCACCAGGAACATCTAAGGGGAACATCTATGAGGAACACCTGAGCAGCCCCCGAGAGAGCCGGCCGGCGGTGTGCCGCTCCCCCGCGGAAGTGGGGAAAGTGGCAGGGGGAACCGCCCTCCCACGGAGGTGGAAGGGTCGGTAGCCAACCCGGGAAGAACCAGCAGCAAACCCGGGGAGGGCCGAGCAGACAAAAGAACAGCGCAGGGTCCTGTGTCATTCCTCCGCGAAGAGGGGGAGCGACAGAACTAGAATCAGAAGTCTCGATTTGGGGGCAGGTCTTTGGTGCAGCAGTTAAGACACTACTTGGGGGGGCCAGTGGTGTGATGTAGCGGGTAAAGCTGCCACCTACAGTGCCGGCATCCCATATGGGTGCCAGTGCAAGTCCCGGTTGCTCCACTTCCAAATCCAGCTCTCTGCTGTGGCCTGGGAAGGCAGTGGAAGTTGGCCTAAATCCTTGGGCCCCTGCCCCCGCATGGGAGACCTGGAAGAAGCGGCCAGTTGGGGAATGAGCCAGCGGATGGAAGTCTCTCTCTCTCTCTCTCTCTCTCTCTCCAGCTCTTTCAATAAATAAATAAATAAATAAATAAAAAAGCTGGCATTCCATGTTGGAGAGCCTGGGTTTCAGTCCCAGCACCACTGCTAATTCCAGCTTCCACTCATGTAAACCCTGGTAGGCGGCAGGTGGTGAAAGTCATTTGGGCCCTGCCGTTCACATGGGAGATGAGGATTATGGATACTGCTACTGTGAGCATTTGGGGAATGAACTAGAGAATGGGAGTGCACGCTGTCTCTATCCCTCTCTGCCTTTCAAATACACAAATAAAGGGGCCAGTGAAGTGGCGCAGCGGGTTAACGCCCTGAAGTTCTGACATCCCATATCGGCGCCAGTTTGAGTCCTGGCTGCTCCTCTTCCGATCCAGCTCTCTGCCATGGCCTGGGAAAGCAGTAAGAAGATCGCCCAAGTCCTTGGGCCCCTGCACCCACGTGAGAGACCCAGAGGAAGCTCCTGGCTCCTGGCTTCGGATTGGCATAGCTCCAGCCGATGTGGCCAATTGGGGAGTAAACCATCGGATGGAAGACCTCTCCTCTCTCTGTGTAACTTTGACTTTCAAATAAATAAATCTTTAAAAAACACAAATAAAAAAATTTTTAAATTAGAATATTCAGGGTCAGTGCTGTGGTGTAACAGGTTAAGCCACCACCTATAGTGTGAACATCCCATATGGATGCTGGTTCGTGTCCCGGCTGCTCCAGTTCCAATCCAGCTCCCTGCTAATGAGCTGGGAAAGCAGCAGAGGATGACCCAAGTGCTTGGGCCCCTGCACCCACATGGGAAACCTAAAAGAAGCTCCTGGCTCCTGGCTTCCACCTGGCCCAGCCCCAACCACTGTGGCCACCTGGGGAGAATATTATTAGTTGCCAACATTTGAAAAATCAGGAGTGTGTGTTCGGCACAGCAGTTAAAACACCACTTAGGATGCCCTCATCCCACATCAGTGCCTGGGTTCGAGTCCTGCCTCTTCTGATTCCAGCTTCCTGCTGATGGTTCCTACTATTGGTATTTGAGGAGTTAACCAGCAGAAGTCTCTTTCTCCCCCTGTACCTTTCAATATTAAAAGAAAAAAAAACTCACATAAAATCTAGATTGTTGTCTTCCCTTAAAAATTGAGATCTCTGGGGCCAGCGTTTTACATCCCATATGAGTGCTGGTTCAAGTCCTAGCTGCTCTATTTCCCAGCTGATTCTCTACTAATGCACCTAGGAAAGCAGTGGAAGATGGCCCAAGTGCTTGGGCCCCTGGGGCCCCTGGGTAAAACTCGGGCTCCCATCTGACCCAGCCCTGAACATTGTGACTATTTGGAGAATGAACCAGCAGATGGAAGATATCCCCCCCCCCGTCTCACTTTCAAATAAATATGTAAATAAATCTTTTAAAAATAAAAAATGAGATCTGTTAACTGCCAATATTCCTTCGCAGCTCCCATTAGGAAAGCAATGGTGACTGACCCCTTGGGGTGGAGGCTGCCCCACAGCCACAGCCACTGTGCTGGGCTTGCAGAGCTGTCCTGTGCCATTGCTGAGCTAAAGAAATTCTAGCAAAGAGGTCAGGGCTCCAACAACGCAGGAATCCCTTTGGGGACATGCTGCTTGCCTGGAGATTACCACCTTTTAAAAAACTGTGTATTTGGGGCCGGCGCCGCGGCTCAATAGGCTAATCCTCTGCCTAGCGGCGCCGGCACACCAGGTTCTAGTCCCGGTCGGGGCGCCGGATTCTGTACCGGTTGCCCCTCTTCCAGGCCAGCTCTCTGCTGTGGCCCAGCAGTGCAGTGGAGGATGGCCCAGGTGCTTGGGCCCTGCACCCCATGGGAGACCAGGAAAAGCACCTGGCTCCTGGCTCCTGCCATCGGATCAGCGCGGTGCGCCGGCCGCAGCGCGCCAGCCGCGGCGGCCATTGGAGGGTGAACCAACGGCAAAAGGAAGACCTTTCTCTCTGTCTCTCTCTCTCTCTCTCACTGTCCACTCTGCCTGTAAAAAAAAAAAAAAAAAACCAAACAAACAAAAAAAAACTGTGTATTTGAAAGGCGGAGAGACAAAAGGAAAGAGCCAGAGAAGAGAGATCTCCCGTTTACTGGTTCACTCCCCAAATGCCCGCAACAAGCAGGGCTAGGCCAGGCTGGACCACAGTACCAGGAACTCCATCCAAGTGTCCCACATGGGTGGCAGCGACCCAAGCATTTGAGCCATCATCTGCTTCATCCTGGGGTGCATGTTAGCAAGAAGCTGGATGGGAAACAAAGACAAAACTCCAGCCCAGGCACTCTGATATGGGGTGCAGGCATTCCCAAGTGGCGGCCTAAGCTCTATGCCGTGATACCCACCCTGAGAATACCCACCCTTTTAAGTCCTCCAGCTTAGATATATTTATTTTTTTAAATGCCCCTCTATAATTTCCACTTACCCTATTTACGTTCTCCAGAGTGTCAGAGAATTAAGTGCTGTACCTTCTTTTTGTTGCCTTGTCTACCCACTGTTCTCCCCGCTCCCTGTCCCCCACCTCTGCACAGTCCCAACAGGACAGCCTGTGTTCTAAGTATCTAGTTACTAAAGCTTGCTAACAAATGCCACTCAGCTTGTTTTCACGTGGTTTGTATACGTTGATAAATCTGAAAAACTGAAGAGAATCATTTTTATGTTAGTCTTTGCTCAGTAACTACACTGGTACAGAAAAAAAAAATATTCAAAACAGTAACTTTGCCCAAATTCCTACAGTGACATGGGGGAAATATGTGTGACAAAGCCACCAAGACCCTCCTCTGAAAGAATCACGGAGGCTCTGGCATAGGCAAGTGTACCAACAAAAAAGCACCACAGTTAGCCAGGCACACATCATCAGCCCATTGCTCTGGTTGGTAAGCTGTGCTCCAGCGTGCGCAGGCACTGAAGTGCAGTGGGTTAAACTACCACTTGGGAGCCTACATCCCATATTGGAGTGCCAAGTTCCCGTCCCAGCAAGCTCCCTGCTAATGCACCTGGCACACAACGGATGATGGCCCAAGAGCTTGGGTTCCTGCCACCCATGTGGGAGACCCGGATAGAATGCCTGGCTT